AAAATTTATTCTTTAACGCCAATAAGATTAAATACATGCTAGTTCGATCAATAGGAGGGAGACATCCGCCCCTACCCTGCATAGGCTTCAGTCTCTATCTACAATAAGATCCTCTCTAAAGAGAAAGAACATGGTATCCTCTGTTGTGCAACCCACACATAAAAAAACAAACAATTTACTAACAATATATGTTGCTCATAAAGTTAAGTTAGGTTGAAGTCCAATATCTAGAGGATCGAGATTAATCAAATAATATTTTTTCCTTGCACTCGGAGATAATCAAATGATATCTTTAACGACTAGAGTTAGATATTCAATTGTCCAACAGGTTAGAACTTGATATTTCAAATATGGCACAATGATGCTGTAAAGAAAGTCAACCACCATGTTTCTAGAGATCTATACAGCTAAGATGCGTACAATTTAGAATATATCAAGTTGTAGGCATAGGTATATGTCTAACTTACAAGAATCAGATCATCTCTTTGTGGCATCAATGAACATGGCTCGCGTCCAGTGCTCAACATCTTCAGTTTGTGATGGTGGGGGGGGAAGAGTTGGATGTTCCACAAGATCCCATTCACCAATTAGACTTTCAATTTTTCCAGTATCGGAGATTTCAGTGGCATAAAGTAAACTGGCAGCAGAACTCCGAAGGTTATGATCAGAAATGCTTTTCTGCAAGGCAAAACAAAAGGCAGAAGAATTTAACAAAACTCTGGAAGCACCCCAGTTGCAGTCCAAACCAAAGTCAGTGGCAATAAATCATTTCCTTTTAAACTAAAGATAACACTCCTTCATGAAATTTTTTTTTTTTTTGGCTAAACTACTACCCTAAATTTTGGCATCCTCCCCCCCCTCCAAATGTATGTATGTTAATTAATAATCACAAAAAGGAAAACTCTTTTATAAGTTTAACCAATCATAGAATCCATCCATGGGCTGAGAAGTGACAATACAGAAAATTCTAGAGTAAAGTCAAAGCTAATTTTATACCGATATAGGCAGCACATGTGCACTCTCCAGTAAAGTGCTTGATGACATGGCAGAGTTCATATTCCACACAGACTTATTCAACTGTTGAACTTGCTTACATGACCTGAAAATCAAAAGATAAAGCATAATGCAGAACTCGGCATGGAAAATGAATTACGAATTGAAATAAAACAGAATAATTGATCATCGTACAAATCATCCAGCACATATTTGGTGTTCAACAATAATTACTTTGTAAATAAATACTGACTTAGAACTCTGAATATAGAAGTTACACTTTTCTTGGCTTTAGAGTGCAGAAATTTTCTACAAATATTTATTTCCCAGTTCCCATTTTGTTCTCTTTCATAAGAACAATGAAGCTAACTGGCCTTTGTACTTGCAATTTGAAAACAGCAGAACTGATATGATGATTCAGATCATTAATCAGACATGGAAGATTCACTTGAACATGTACCTTGAACCAACCATTTTCTGGGAAAGCGCAGATCGAACTTCCTTGGAGGAGGATAGTGTACCCAACAATTTGGAAAATGCTTCAAAGGTAGATGTGTCAGTTGGAATATCCAAGCATAATGAGTTGTAACAGTAAGCTGTAATGCATGCCACACTTTTCTTGAGAAGAGATATCCCTTTCTGCAAATCCTTGTGTGTCTCAACAGAATGAAGGGAGGCAGAAGAATAGTTCAAACTATTACTTCCAGAAGAATCTAACCGGGCCTTTCTCTCAGATTCCATAGATGCAACACCAAAATTACTGGAACTTCTATCTGTCCATGAATTATCACCACTAGTGGAGCAATTATTTTGGCGTGGTATGAAAAGGGGATATTCATTGCTGCACAGAACCATTATGGTCAGTTCCATGAAGAAAAAACTATGAGCCACATCTAATATCTCTTGCTAATATACCTTCTTGAAGAAGGGCGTGCATTCCAATAAGAATCTCTTTGCCATATCCTTGAACAAGACCCCTGGAGTAAAATTATTAAATAATGAATATGAAAATAATGTGGATAAATGAAACCTTCAAAATATTATTACTATTATTTATATCTATTGAAAGCCTAGATCCCTTCAAGAGAGGTAACAGAACTTCAAAAGGGAAAAACATCTTCAAAATTTTTCTGCCAATATATATTTCACACCACTGATAGCAAAAATAGAAAGGCAATACACTTAAAACATCCAGAAAATAAAATTCAAAGAAACATTAAGGGGCAATCTTATAAGTTTTGAAATTCATTCAGAAACACTACAAGATGTTAAAAAACAAAAGTATAATCTATGCTTTATATGGCAAACAATAAATGTCAGAATTGGTAAATCATAGCAATGAAAATGAGAAAAGATGAAAAATTTTACTAAAGAAATATATATTCAATTATCTCAAAGATGATTAAGAAAATTTAAACATAATGCTAGGATGCTGACTTTTACTAATACTATCCAAGAGAATAAATTTTTTCCTTTGGTTGATTGTTGTGTCAGTCAGTATCAATTAAATTTGTATCCTTCTAAGTTGTGCCTGTAGAAATCCTAAATGATGGAGAATAAAGAAATTCAAAACTAGTTTTCAAGGATTTTTTGGGCTCTGTCAAAGATTTTTCCTTTTGTCATAACCTAGAGGGTGCAATTGATTCATACCGCAAAACCTGAGTTGTGAAGTGCAGGAGCAGCCAAGACATGAACAACAAGATTTAGAAGTTGGACCATGTATCTGTTTTGAACCAAATGGATTGTCAACAAGTGTCCAAAGCAATTGGATTCATGGTAAAATAATTTAAATAAATAAGAAAAATGAAAAATAATTAAAAGTTAAGGGAGGAATGATCTTGACGTCATGCCCAGCTATGTTAAAATAATTGAGCAGTGGGGAGCAGGGTTCTGGTGATTTCTTTCTAAACATCAAGTTTTACAGAAAGATGGTGAAAACAAATTACCCCAGGGAGGCAGCAAGCTCTTCTGATGGAACAGAGTGTGGGTCAAGCCCCCTTGGTAAGCGTACATTACAAATCAGGTCATATTGACTGTTGGAACCATCTCTTCCTCCATCTATACTCACCTAGAAAAGATAGAATATGTTTGGAATTACAAATACAAGCCATGATTTAACTCAAGACAGTAGGAGCATAATGCATAGATGGAAAAGGTTTAAAAAGGGAGATGCTTAGGAGGAAAATGAGCAATCGAGCATCCTTGATAATATCAAGAAAATATAAAGCACACCAAGAGAATGAAAGAAATAAGCGGAAAAATTACCATTATATATGTTGTTAACAAAATGAAAAACAGGATGTATTAATTCCGTTGAGTATTTACATCACTGTGAACTACTCTAAAAGGAACACACTATCAAGTCAACATGAACAATATGAGTAAGAGTCCTACAGTTTCTTCTATTTTTTCCAAAACAATATATATTTTTTTCAATATATAACCAAATTCCAATGATCCTAAACCAGTGGCTCATATTACAATGGCTTCCCCAAGCAATCTCAAATGCTTCTAATTCCTACTGTATCATGAAAAAGATTCATTTGTTAGCCTCCATAAGCCAATAGCATGTGTGCCTAGACATGTTTTGACTATTGCCAAACAACATTTGTTGTATTCCTCAAGCAATTTCTTTAGTTACATATAAGGCTGATGGAATAATCACCCTCTCTATAACAAGAAACCTGAGGCTACCTTTGGAAGTTTAAATGAATTACTCTTTATTTTTCAACTTGAAAAAAGTTGATGGTTAGATATTTTAACTTGTCTAAATTTTGGAAAGAGAAAGAGAAACCGTATTTCATAAACATCCCCTCATCCCAACCATCATAGCAACACATTTTTAAGGTTTTCTTAAGAAATCAAATTAGTTACACCTATCAATCCCAGTCACAATCAATCAGGATTCAAACTTTCATTTCAGATGAGCATACCCGACGTTGTGGGAACAGTTTGCATATCTGCTTTATAATGACAGACTGTTTATGAAGGCGTTCTGAGGTAATTGCCATCTGTAACAATGAAATGTGTCAGATAATGTCTTTAGATGATATAAACATCAGTATATTAATAGACTAGAGGAAACAGCAGCAACATAGATCTCTGCATTCTGCACTTGTACAGTAGTAAATCACTCCCGAGTCATGGCATACCGAGACTAATCCTTAGTTCCTTACATGACCCATAAAAACATAAGGGGCAGCCAGGATTATACATTTGAATTGAACCATTTGGCCAAAGTGATTCCATGTCATTAACCAGTAAAAAGCTTAAGCTCATAGGTGGCGGCCAAAAATAGTTTCAATCACTTATAGAAGATAAAGTGTTCCAATCATGGTTTAACAAAGCTGACAAATTCAAAGGAATAAAGACAATAATCCCTACATGACTCAAGCTCTGAGTGCCAAAAAAGTTGGGGTAGAACTTCTCCAGCTGTTCCTTGCGATTTTTTTCCAACTGCAAAGACAAAATTTAAGCATAAGCTACATATGTTTATAGTTTCAGTGCATTTGGGTCCAACTCTCAAGAAGGAGTAACAGGGGCACCAGTAATACCGTACTACGAGCTGAATTAAGCACCCCATCTTTAACCTTTAAGTCATGTGATAATTTCTCAATCTTAGAATTACCTGAAAAGGCACAATTTAGCTTGATCAAAGTAGAAATAACACAAATTAGCAACACTTTGAAACCTAAACCCGATCAATGAGACGGTAACTGAGTAGCATCTAAAATTCTAAAACCTTGAGCCAGTTGCTGTTTGCTCTGCCGCAGCTTCTCCCTCAAGTTTGCTAGCTTCTCATTCTGAAGCAATTTCCAGTTAAGTTGATCATCTGCTTTTCCCTGGTGAATAGGATAAAAAGCTTACATAAAAACTAGCAAGACATTAATCTTATAATCAGTATCCTTGAAAACTCAGAAAAATCAAACCTTTGCCACCAGCACTTGGCTCAATTTAGAATACAAGAAATCCCGATGACTCTTCAATGATTTCAACAGTGTGTTGTACTCATTTAATCTGCATGATAAGGCAATAAAACTTACATTTAAAACAAAATCCACTGAAGATTTTGCGGAAATTTCAAAATTATAACCTGGACTTTCTCCTTTATTCATCTAATTCAGGAATTGGGCATGTGATCATGGAGAAAATGAAGCAAAACACAAACAAGTAATCAAAGGAAAGGATGAGTATACCTGTAATTGACACAGACAGCGCAGATAGAAGCGCGATTCAGGTTATCGCAAATAGCGCAGCTGCTGGCCTTTTTGGAATTCATCATAACACAATTCCTCGTCGAAGTCGATCCCCGAAACAATAAGCCGTAGCGTTTGGTTGCCGAGAAAACAGAATACAAGGTTTCAGCTAGGGATTATTTAGAATTGGCGGAGCGAGAAGAAGAGAGGAAGAGGAAGACGATGAATCGACATGGGTAACGTGTGTCGAATTCTTATGAGATCAATCTCATGAAATACGGTGTCGTATCAATAATAAAAAAAAAAGAAAAGGAAAACAATTTCCGCCCATAAAGAGTTTAAGAGGTTTAAACCGTATTAAATTGTATTTTATATATATATATATATATATATTTCATCTTTTATCCCACTTTGATTGCATGCTATGTGATTTAAACTTAATATATCTTATTTTTAATACAAGAAAATAACCATTAAACTAGTTAAGTTGTTGACAAACTGCATTATATTAATCATTAGATAAAAGTTAAATATAAATTAAACTCTTTAATATTAAGAGTACCTCTACCATCGAATATCTTTATTTTATAATTTAATACAATCTAAAAATATGTTTGATATTATTGTGAAGTGTTGTAATTGTAACTATAATGAATTATACTATAATTATGATCAAAAGTTATTTGACATTTAGTTATTTATTTTTCAAAAATATTATGAATAAAATATAATATATTTTATTAATTATTAATTAAAATTTTAAAAATATTGTAAGATATATAATTATTAAAATAAATAATTTTTATTTTTTTAATAATTTAAGTTTTTTAAATTTGTTATTATTAAAATATTAAAAATTACGATATAATTAAATTAAACAAAATTAAATTTTAATAAATAATTTTATAATTATATTAAATACTAAGTATTTTTTTGTAAAAATCACAGTAAATAAACTTCAAAATAAAACTTTTGATTTTATATATAAAATTACTATAAATTTATATGTTTTTTTTATAATTTTTAAGAAAAATAATCTGAAAAATTTTTTATCGAACACATATATATAAATATTATATAACTACATAAAAAACTATCAACCATAATTTCAAGTACACCTAAATTGCAAAATAAGATTTACTTTTTATCATATAATAACACGACATGAACCAACGATATGATAATTTAAGTAAAAAAAATTTAATTCTTTTAAATAATATCTCAAGTTTAAATGAAAAAACATGCACTAAGAGAACTTTCATAAGGATTCAACGGATTCAACGCAACTCAATTCCAGATTAATTCAACGCAATTCAACTTCAAATTAATTAAGACCCAATGTGATACATCAATTTTAGAGTAATCAAAATCTAATATGATTGTCAAATAACAAGAGACCAACATTAAAAAAATAATAATAATAACACACATCATGATGTTTAATTTATAATATCACGGTAACATTATCACTATATTTTCGATAAAATAATCTCCAAAGAAGGGGGTTAAGGTGTTGCCTTTTTCCTAAAAGAATATTGTGCTGGAGTCATAAGAAATAAGATAGTCTTCCAAAAAATCTTTTTGCTCGGAATGATGTATAAATAAACACAGTAATTCGGAGAAAATAAGGTTTAGAAGCAACAATTTAATGATTGATTCTCCAACAGAAACTGAATTTTTTTGCACCAAAGGAAAATGTACCACAGGTAATACTGTTTCCTACTCATGTCTCTTTTCCCCTGGTAGTTTCAGCATAAGAACGCTTGCTCTCGAACAATGAAGAAGGAATGGATAAAATGTCCTCTGTTACTGGCCCTCGTCCATGGGGTCATTGCTATTACATGACTGTTGTCTTAAATCCTTGTCATCTTGTCGAGACTCCTCTTTCGAGACTGAATCTTCAAGTGCCTCAAGGAAAGATAAAACGGTAAACTTGTCTGAAATTTATAGGGAAAATGTAGAGTTCAGTTGCAGCCATTAGAAGAAAGATCCTCGAATGTGTTAGCAGCTCAAGATGGGAAATCAACTTCTAGTTGTGAACTTTATGAACGATGAGAATTGAGATTGACACACAACATATAACCAACTATAGATGAACTACAGTGCAGAGGGATTCCGATTACTCACATTTACTTGGGTCTATACCAAACTGAGACAAATCTATCTGTCCTGTTCGAAGTACCTACAAAAAGAGAATGCCAAATACATGAAGATTGACAAGGGGTGACAAGGGGCCTTGTGCAAATACAATGAAGACGACAAAAGGGTCTCAATTCCTCACATAAGTAAATGAATCCACTTGTTGACGGAAGGGAGCACTCTGCAGAAGCTCCAATACATCCTCTGGAGTCCATTGACCCTAAAAACACAAAATGTTTCAATTGCAGCAATTATAAAATGTTAAAGGAAGTCCAGACTTCAGATAGGTTAATACCTCAGGTAAATATGATGCTAATCTTTCCTCCAGGGGCAATGAATCAATTAATGGCATTATCAAATCTGGTTTCAAAAGCTCTGCTAATCCCAATCCTATCAACAAAAGATAAGCACAAAAGAATTAATTGTACCTTCACCCAGAAGATATAGATCAAAAATGAAATTTTAACACAAAATTTACAAGAAAACAAAGTTATTAACTTCAGAGATGGTTAGCAAACAAATGCAGGTGCAGTGTAACACTAGAACTTTGGAACAAATCAGAGCAGGGTTCAATTCACACACAATTTGGATTTTCTAGTTTTTAATGTATTCAATCATTCATACTTTGGTGTTTTCTAGAAAGAGTTATGGCTGTTTGACTATAAGCTATTCTTGTTGGGAGATTTTGGAGTTTTTGTGCTTGATGGTATTCAGAGATTATTTTGTTCATCTGTCCAATTTCAACAGATATTTGCAAAGAAAAAATGATTTCAACAATCACCCATACCTAGAGGGTTGGTTCAAGACTACAAATCTTATTTTAAGAACTTGTACTAAAAGGTATATATTGCAAACGTTGCCAACAATTGAATCTTTGTGCTTGTTTTCCCTTTTTTTTCAACTCTTTAGTTCTAACAAATTGAATGGCGAACTCTCAGTCTCATATCTCTAATCTCTTAATTGTGGTTAACTACCCCATTTCCTTTTTCACCATCAGTTTCATCCCTTCTAAGATTATGACCAATGATATTTCTTTCTTTCTTAAACAATCCAGTATCAACTACTAAGTCCTAAAAAAATTGTTGTAATAATCTAAAACACTGAATAGAAACATACATCTAGGAATTTAATGATGAGAATTCATTGTTTCCTACTCAAAGCCCAAGACATTTATCAAATAACAGAAACTGCAACTAATTGGAAAGTGTAGCCTATGCCAGATTCAACTGTGTAGGGGGTTCAGCAAGAAAAACAGGATGTTACTAATGTTGAAGCAACTAAAATATTACCTTCATCTGGATCACCAGCAATTTCTGAAGCAAATCATCCAATGTTCACAATGTTAGAGCTCAAGGCAATCTACTACAATATAAAGAATATACCATCAAACACTGTCTGACTAATGCAGAGTACCTGCGGGAGTGATGTTGCTCAAAATTCTTTGCAAGTCTTCCAATTTGACTGGTCCAGATGAAGAGGTCACTTCACTAATTGCTTCTCCACCTAAGTTTGGAATGGTTAAGTTTCCAGCTCTGAAAAGTTACAAATAAAAACACATAAGAATAAATAAATTCATTGCATTCAACATAAACCCAGAAAAAAAAAATGAGGAAGAAGAAGAAGGCACAAACATGCTGAGCCCACTACATGGACATGGAAATTAATAAATTAAACTTAGTTTGCTTCATTAGAGATGCTGATAGCAAATGCAGATGTCTCTGCCAAAGAAAAGGACCAGGGGCCCAAAAGAAAAATTAGAAATCATATTGTAATGACCATACCTTGATGAAGTATCATCTTCAACCATGTCTTCAGATGCTTGCAAATGACCAGAAGAATCAGGCTCTACTTCTTCAGGGAACTCTATTAGATAGCAGGTTAACATGAGTCAATAAGAAGCAGCTGAATTTATAACTGCGTAAAAATCAGGATTTAAAAAATCTGACGTTTTTGGTAGATAATGTTGTAAAAGATTAAAAACTATTTTTGAGCCCCCCCCCCACTTTGCCCTACCTTCTAGGAATAAATCCTTGCACATTTTACAACAACGAAAAAAGGTAAGATGCACACAAGCTGGATTAAAGGGCCTATAACATTAGCATCATTTGCAAAGATTTCTAATGGATTAAAAGTAAGTCATAAAGCCAATTCACACAAAGTTATAAACAATCTAACACCAACAGGGAAGAAAAAGTCTACAGGGTAAAGAGCAGAAAAATGGCAAACAGAACCAAATTTTGTAGCGTCGCATTGCAGTATGCTTGATTTAAATTATGCAAGATGACATTATTTTAAGATGATTGGCAAAGAAAGCATAAAACTTCAAGAAATGTTACAGAGATAGAATCATATGACAAAATAAAAGGAAAGAGCTTCAATCCTTAAAGATTACAGTATATATAAACTGAGAAAGAGATCTTTATAGTTTATACCCAATGGCCGATTGATATAATAGTTGACGGAGCTACATAATTGTGAATCACCTTCAGCTCTAGGCTCCTGAAGAAAATTGAGAAAATAACTTGTTAGAATAATCGATAGGGTAATCAACCTTATAAGAATAAGCTAATTGATGAACCTGACCTGCATCCAGAAAAAGGACTTCCGGTCATCGGTGTTGAACTTTAATATATAAACCCTTCCTGATGCTTGGTCAACCTAAGTTGATGAGGAATTACAATATGACTCAGAAAAGCTGCAGATGTCCAATTTAGAGAGAGGGGGAGAGAATAATGAATGATTCAAGTGAAAAGCAGTACCTTCTCAAAAACTGCCTCATCAGGAAAAATAATTTGGTCCTAGAAGACTGTGTTAAGGAAAAAGTAAAACAGTTCCAACAAAAGAAATTAAAAATACAGAAATAAAACTCATGGTTAGAAATATTAAAAAACCCACAAGAATTAACAATCTGTGCAAAACAATTTGAGAACAAATGCAAGAAATTCTATATCAAAACATTGGTAATGCAAAGCATGGTAACTTGGATACATCTTCAACTGCATTTTGGGCCCGATCTAGCCATTGAAAATGTACCAGTCCCTCCTCACCCTAACACAAAAAATAGACAAAGTAAATGAAAGTCATTCAATTTCTAAACTCATGATGCAGAACTTTAGTTCAGGCTTCTCATAAAAAAGATGCTCAGAGAAGAGGATATAATAATAAAAAAAAATACAAACTAAAAAAAATGAAATTGCTATTACTGATTATACCCTTGCTATACGAATGAGTCCTTTACGTGAATCTGGTACAACCCTCTTTCCATCCAATAACATTTTACCAGCACGAAACTCCAACATAACTTCCTGCCAATAAATGTTGTTAAGGAAAACCATGTAAGTATGTAACAATACCAATGACAACCAAAAAAAGAAAAGGGAAAAGGGTGCAACTATTTCCAAAGCAGCTCCCACTGCATCATGAAAGTTACTGCAGACCCACCACCAAGTGAAACAAAACGTTAGACACAAACAGCTTTAGTGCAAAAGCAGGACACACAGAAACAACCCCATTCAAAAGAAAAAATGTATGCAGCCCTATTTAATCAATGAATTCTTTGTTTAACTCCTAGGAGGATTTAAAATCAAGACACACAAGAAAGCATTGGGAATAGTTAGATTTTTCTATCTATGTTTGTGTCAGTAAGCAAGCAAGAAAAAAGGTCAAACAAAAATTATTGACAAGACCCAAAACAGATGTTATAAAATCTTACCTGCATTATTGGTGCCTCAGCTGAGGATGAATCCATAGGTCCACTTCTCACTTGCTTTTTCCGCTTCAAAGAAATCAAAAAATTGAACTAATTTCTCGAGAATTCAAATAAAGCTCCAGATATAGAATGAAATCAAAAACTCATTGAGAGCCCAAGTTGATGACTAACTTATAAAATTCTAGATTAACTAAAGATAAAAGCCTCACTGTAAATATCACCAAAAATCAGATTCTAAAGCACCATCTTAGGATACCCAAGTGAGCTTGTATTGAGAAAATAAATCAGGTGCCTGAGAAAAATGGGAAGGAACCAAATATGTAAATCGGCATCTTCTAAATTATATAAAAAAGGCTTACCTTATCGAACTGGGTGATTTCGGCGGTGCCTTCAACTTCAACTTCCGAGCAGCAGTATATTGGGGTTTTGATGATTGGTTGGTTATGGCGGAGCGTCGTGAGTGAAACCGAAAGAGCGAGATTTTGTACAGGAGGAAGAAGGAGAAGGATTGCCAAGGGAGGGGGAAATACTAAATAGGGTTCTTTGAGATTTGGGGATTTTTGAGGAAAGGGGTAGAAGTTTAAATGTGAGAGAGAGAGAAAAAAAAAACATATTTAGTCCCTGAATTTATTCATTTTTGACGATCGGGCCTCTAAAAAGCTAAGATTAAGTAGTAAGTACCTGGCTCAGTTTTTATTTTTAAAAACAGCCTCTCTTTAGATAACTTGAATGCTCTTTTCTGAAAAATTCTTCTACCTTTTATATCATCACGATCCAACAATTGTACAAAAGATTTGTCGAAACCACCTTTTTTAAATAGCTACAGCTATTTAGACCTTGAATTGGACCATGAAAATTTGTAATCTGTTCTGAGTTTAAGGCTAAGTTGATCCTATATTGTAAAATGGGGCTTTCCCCCAAACAGCATATCATTTTGATTGTTTTGGCCAAAATGAAAGGGAAATTTTAAAGTTATTCAAACCATATTAAGAATGCAAGTTGAAATTCTTCTAAAGTTATTTGAGTATAAATAATTTTAATAAGCACATTTGAAAATAAAATTTTACTTGATATGTGTGAATAAAGTGATTTATAAAATATTTGTGAAATTAGTTTCTGTGTTAAAATTAAAAGTCTGAATACCTAAGTCATTGAAAAAAACAAGAAAGGTAGATTATGCCTCAGAAGTCAGAAAGGAGAGGAATCTTTTGGCTTGACTACGGAATTTGAGCATGGGGTGCATGAGTGAAACTCTTTCTACGTCGTCAACAGTTAAATGCCAAATAATTTTCCCCAATCATCCCAATTGCCAACTAAAATATAACCAATGTAACTACAAAGTAATATGAAATGATACATATATAGGTCACTGAGAGCTTAGCGATCGATTCCAACTAATTCTATAGTCACCAAAGTTTCCAGAACATAGAAGCATTTCTACCTACTAGGTTGACATAAGGTGCTGGCTTCCTACATGCCTAAGCACCTGCAAACAAAGGGCCCAACAGAGCAATTGATCACCTCACCAGTGATCCAACTGTCATGCTCAGGTTTGAGTCCCCTTGCCCCCACTACTTGAAAATTACCCCTGTTCAAAAAAAAAAAAAAAAAGTACCTGCAAACAAAAAGTGCAAGTGTTAGTGGTGATGCAAAGGGTAAACATTTTTATTCATACTCAGTAATTTAATGTTCTCTATAAATTTATGGAAAAAAGAAATAAATACTTAAAACTTGATCACATATTTGAATCAGAAGCACTGATCCTTTGTACCAAGTACCAATCTTGAAATTGAGTGTCCAAGCAGCCATGCTCTGGGAGAACAAGGAAATTTTAAGTATTCCTATACTACATTCACTAAAATGTAATCAGAGACGGATACACCATTGTCTTTGCAAATAAGATGCATTAGTGAACCAAAAATGTTCGTAATAATAACAGAACAAAAACACCTTCTGCGGAGACCTGAAAGTCACCTTCTGGCCACATAAGAAGCATGAGATAGTACATATAGATTGAGGATTCACAAGCAGACTTAATTACTAACTTTTTTTATTTTTAAAGGAAAAAACTTATTTATTTTAGTGTTCTCATCCATGCAATGAGGGGCGAGTCACTGTGATATTTGATCAATGTAGTTTTCATTTTGTATTTTAAACAACATAATGAACAAGTTCAAAATGGACAATCCTACAGCAAGCAATATCAATATTAACATAAAAGTAAACCTACAAGCATCATTACATACAAGAAAAAAACATGATAATAATGTCTAAGAATATGTAGTTGGAACAGGCACAATAAAGCTTAAATATACTGAGGCTAGACAAAAGGGAAGCATATCATGCAGATTTGGTCAGACTCTACAAACTTTAAGAAATCATTAGAAAAAAGTATAACCTAAAAATACAAAATCCTAGCTGCATCAACAGATAATGAAATTCAACTGGAATAAGTCATACCTGTACAGCTACTCATCTGCATGACACAGACACAAGCAATTGTTCATGAGGAAAATTGAACAGCTGAGGTTCTTTTACACAACATCTAGCCTCTCAAGCAAAATTCTGAATAGTGGTATTTCAAGGAAAGGTCTAGTTCATTGTGTACACCTTCAGTTTCATTGCTTTCTGGGGAACCAACATCATCAGAACCACTATCACTGGGCTCCTTCATATAAATGATCTTACCAAACAGCTGAAGTGAATTGTTACCAACTTTTGCTGAGTTGTATCCCTTGTTTTCAACCAGTTCCATGCTGACAGAAGGCACACTACTCTGGCTACCAGGTGACAAGTTGTCAGATTGAACACTGCCAATGTTGAGTTCAGTGGACACCCTTTTCAACTTTGGCATCATATGTTTTCCAGAAAAGTCAGTGTTGCATGTAATAGGATTACTTTCATTTACAAAGTTGCTTAAGCTAAGTAAGCTAGAATTCTCTTGCCTGGCTCCCTGCATGCCAGCAGGAAAATAGTGATTCAACGGTGATGAATTTATTTGACCCATTGTTGAATTAGTAAATCCACTAATTGGAAAGAAGATATCTCCTTCTCCATCTGTGACCCCAGAATTCTCAGGAAATTTTAATCTCTTTGCTGGAGGAAATGTGGCATGAAGTGGTGAGGGGGCAAGAAATTCAACTTGCCACGGACTCACTCTCTTTGCATTCGGCAGAACTTCAGGTTCATCCCATGTAACCTATGACACAGATAAAGAAATAAAGGGAGATGGATGAAACTTTAGCCCCAATATCTCCCAAAAGATTGCTAATTAAACCAACCACCATAGTCGGTATTATCATTAGAAAGATGAGACAAGCAAGATCAAGTAAAAAACAGAATTTACTGTGACAGCTGATAGATTTTACTCCCTATAGTTTTTCATTTTCATTATTGTCATTGGTTAGTCAAGTCTGTTCCTAATTCAATACTTTCATTGTTTGGCACAATCTTAGATGATAGCCAGAAAAGATTAACAGAATTCAATATCTATCCTCAATTATTACCAAGATATAACCATTTTCCCTCAGAACATTATTCCACAAATGCATCAGGAAAGTGCAGAAAAGGAATGGGCATTAAGATATCTCATAGAAAACCTAGATTGTGAAATCGTCTTGCAATTGTATAAGCATACACAATCAGAAGACAGCTTCAATAGTTAAACCATACATCAAATAAGAAGAAAATTTGCTTCGCACCCACAGTTTTGCATATCTCATTTCAACCTCAACTCAAGTAATTTATCAGCAAACCTAAAGAAACATGTGACACATAACTCAAGCTCAGTTTATCTATATTTTAATGATATACTAGTCTATGAAAGCCATCCTTATAGCAAGAGCCAAATAGAAAGGAGGTGAAAAGTCTCAACATCACAGCAGTACTCACTGAATTCTAGTGCGAGAATATAACCCATCTACACATGTAAAAGCTATTTGATCTATCACAAATAATTGGTATCTGGCAATGGCACACTAAATCAACCAACAATTATACAGATGAGGTTTCCAATTTCAGTGATGTTTGATACCTAGCTTATGCATTTCGATTAAATAACAATTTCCTTGTTGATGTTAAGGCTCACAGGGAATCCACATGGAATAGAAACAATTCTTCAACACTGACATTTATAATTACGGCTATAAGCCAACTCCCAATTTTACCAGGCAGATTTCCGCCAATTCTGGTAACAAATTCAATGACGTACATTAATTTAACTCTCCCTCTTAAATGACTACTCACCTCAATACATCAAAACCATTAAGTACTTTTATCTTTCATTAACAACAACAAAACACTTAGTAGTTCACTTAAAGACAACATCAATAATTTGCAAAGAAAATCTACAAAGATTCAAAAGAAATTAGTACAATTTACAATGCTAAGAGCTCCATCCAGAAAACACTGTGAAGGCAGGAACAAAAATATCATTACCTGAAGCATTCGCCAAGGAGAGGCACCCCAGCATCCGCGTTCCGGTGCAGCAGAATCAACAGTTCCCTGGAACCATGACATCCGTGAGGAATCCTCAGTCTCCACTGCCATCTTCACCCTCATCCCTTCCACCCACGAAATGCCGAGCGCAGCCTCTACTGACTCCGCCCTCACCACAAAATCCGCCCACCCAGCCCTCGGATAGTAGACAACCTCGAACGGCAGCCCTTTTGCAGCCCTCTCCACCGACTCTGCCACTGCCTCCAGCGTCACCCTCTCCCTTCCTCCCTTGGAAAAGCCCTCAACACCCCTACCTTCCGACCCGGTTCCTCCTCCGGAAATTGGCTCACGCCACCTAGCATAATCCCCGCCAGTGTCCTTCTTCACAGATCGCCTGACGCCAATGAACATCTGGCCGTTGGTCGAATCTCTCATAAACACGACAGAGTCACCAGCAATGAGCTTCTTATGGTTGACGAACTTGCTCCAACCAGTAGTGAGAAGGTGACGGCGCGGCGTGCCTCGGTAGATATGGCGGAACTCAAAGACTGCACCGTGAACGTCACAGACAGAGAGAGTTTGCACAGGCGGGTCAGCTTGATAGTTAAGAGGCGGGAAGATGGAATCCGCACAGAACCGCGGGACCGAGAAGCCGCCACCGTTATTAGCATCGGACGGCGTGAGAATCTTGGCAAAGGAAAGAATCCTTTTATTATCACCATCATCACTACCGTTCATACTCTCCTGCACAAATTGGTTAGGGCCTCCAAAAGGTTCGAGGACCGGAAGGAGGAAGATCCTTGCAAATACTTCATCAGTGACAGGATCGGCAAGGAAGTGAACGGCAGAGACGATGCAGGGGATGAGTGGTTTGGAGTAGGCGAGAGTGGAGAGAACAGGAGCGGAGCGACAGGAATGCTGAATGTGACCTTGGGGGAAGTAGTAAACCCTAGAGTGGAGGGCGGGGATTTGGACGGAAGAGCCGGCGCAGGCACGCCAGACCCTGGGGTCCAGATGACGGAGATCGGAGGGTGGCGGTGGCATTGGATTAGGGTTTGGGGAGGTATTTGTGTTTGGGAATTTGAAGGAAGAAGAGAATGAATCCCCGAGAGTTAGTTAGTGGTTATGTTACCTGAGAGGAGAGAGAAAGAAAGCGTGCCGTCTCGGGGTCGGAGAACCAGCACGCAGAGAGGCGGAGATTGAACCAGAATAGCAAAATCCTATAGATCAGTCCCTAAATTTGTAACTTTAGTCTATTAACTCCCTAGAATTTAAAGTTTTTCCACTATTAAAAACCTTTATATATTTTTTTTGAACAGTCTACAAATTTGGGGGAGAGGAGATTTTTTCCAAGGTATTAGTGGGTTCAGAACTTCAACTAACAAATTCAAGAATTTTAAAGTTTCAAGAACGAATTACTTGGATTCGAAAGTCCAATTCAAAACCTTAGTAATTAGTTTTTCTATCTTAATAACTTTCAATTTAGGAACTAATTTGACTAAAGGACCTACCATGCTTCTAATAGGAAACTAAAGAGTTTTCCCAATCTACTTATTTTATATATTAAAAAAATCAATTTATTTTGTTACTTTTATCAAATTTTAAACTTATTATTTTGAAAATATTGCTCATAACTTTTAGGAGAAGAGTGATATGGTTTGGACCAACATTCAGTCAAACTAGAGGATGGGTGCATGATGAGTGAGATATAAAGTTGGTCACAATCATTTTATGATTTATAATGTCATTTAAATTGGTAAAATATTTTTCCTAAATTGTTAACTTGTAAAGAATGATAATTATTTTAACCTCTTTAGGAAAACAAAAAGGATTATTAGTTTATTTCCAAAATGTAATATCTTTAACTAAAAACTAAAATTTTTTTATTTGGTTTAAGTGGTAAAATTACGAAGTTGGGAGGGTTAATTGAATTTAAAAATTCTCTGAGCCTTAATTGACTACCATAAACAAATCATGGGACTAATATGTGAGATCCCTAAATAAAAGGGACTAATTTTTGAGCTTATCCCTAATGTCAAAGGAAAAACCGTGTTAATCAATTAAGTTTTTTGTTTTGGTCTTGGTGTTAAACTGGTAATCATTTAAGTTTATCATGATTCGTGACTTTCCTAACAAAAACAGGTTTATGATTTATTATTATCAATTTTTTTTAAGTTTGTGCGAAATACTTAAATAATTCAGTGATTATCTCATTTCATTAAAAATAAAAAATCTTGAATTCGAATTGCATGATTTACAAGTAAGATGAAATAAATGATGAGAAATAAATGATGAGAAATAATTACCTTCAATTGTACGACCAAGATAAAAATAAAAAAAAATTATTTCAAACTTGTAAGTTTGTATTAGGTACTACACTATCTACATAAAGGTAATTTTATTTTTTGTGTATTAAATGTTAGTTGTTTAGTTTATTTGAGAATTTATTATGAGTCAACTTATAAATATCTAAGTTTTAATCTTGACTTTAAATTAATATTTTAAATTAATAAATATTTATTTGAGAGTTTTTTTCAAAAGAAAATTATACTCTTTATGTTTTCACAATACCTCAATGGATTATTTACATTTTGAATTTCTATCACAATGAAACCTATAATCTCATTAACATTATGCAAAGAATTAAGACTCAATGTATGTCTCAAGATGATTTGCCTGCACTAAACCTTCCTCAATCGAATGGATGTGTATGCAATACAAATTGCAACAATTATACATAACCATATAATTTAGAAAAAACTTGATGAACTAAGACTTGTTATTTGCAAGGGTGGAGTTCCCTCACAACCTCAAACTTTTTGAAGCTTAATTTCTAGGTCTTTAACCAGTTGTCACCAGTTGTCCCTGGATTCACTGACTTTTGAATCATGATTTGATAATTAAATAAGAGATTAACACAATTATATTCTTGATTTAAAATTTAAATTTAAAACTAATCACAATTTTATTTTATTTCAATTATTGTTATCTTTGTTTTTTTGGGGGGGCATTACA